TTGAAAAAATTCCAGTAATTTATAATGTATACCTTCTGTTTCAGTGAACCGATTGTCATGAAACGAAACGTGAATATTGCAAGAAAGATATACTAACACGTTGTCAAAAACATTGTTCAAATCGATCCTGTGGTTTGTGAGTACTCGCATATTTTATGTTTGAATGAACCGATTGCAACAAACAGTGCTAGAATGTTGCCTAGAAGTGTTATTTACATAGTTTCAAAAACACCGACAAAATTGATCCCGTACTTGAATCTTAGTACAGGCATATCTTCCGTTTGAGTGAACCGATTGCGATGTAACAAAGCCTACATGTTACCCCAAGCGCCGAGAAAAACACTGTTTACAAACAACTGTCTGTAAACAATGTCTAATCTTTTAAGAATCATGTTGTTTAATAGATAAGAATCAATTTGTTAGTACCAAATGTTCATTAGAAAAAAATTATCAGTTTTTATTGTATTTATGGTTCACTATTTTGGTGAAATTGGCTTACACATAAAAGAAATGTACATATGTATATGTGTGATACGTGACTGTATGCTTTGTAGGACTATTTAAAATAAACATTTTCATTGTACATTACATACGTGTAAGTTTAATGGTTTTTGCAGAATCGTAATATTTTGGACAATTCACACAATATGTATATAAATTATAGCCTATGTGTTATTCTGATGTTTAAGCTATATTATTGTTAATTTTCATTAAAATCCATTCAGTAGTTTTTGCGTGAAAGAGTAACAAACATCCATACATACAATTATGCTAATAGTAAGTTAAGATCATTAACACCAACTTATTTAGTTAAGAGTATTTATGTAGATTGTAAAATTCGCTTAAAAAAGTGCACAGTTGAAATTATAGAAGTCTTCTGTTGATAAGTACATATGTTTGAGCAACGAATCAAGGTCGACGGTTTCTTAATTAATTGAAGTATTACGGGTGAATTTTAATGAAACAAACATTTTTGTGTTTTAAAACAAGCTCTTTCACAGGGAAAACTACTTAACATGTACTTTTCGGTTTAAAAAAGGTCTGGATTATTTACTTACATTATTTACAAAAAAAGAATTTGAATCATTTATGAATATGTTTCAGGCATTTATTAATAGATTAACCGCTATACTATTAAAACCGCATGCGGCACAGAGAAACGAGGAAGTCTGATTATTTTACGATGTTCGCGTACGGTTGAGATTTGGGGGTCGGCTATAATTAGATGTTATATCAACACCTTCTGTGAATTAAGTAACAAAAGGTGAATTCACCATTTAAATACGTGTTGAAAAATATTTTTACGTTTATTGTAAAGGCGAAATGATGGGAAAGGGACATAAATTTCAAATTGAACTATTTGTAGAAAATATTTTATTACATATAATAAATATTTATTTAATTTTTATACAACATTCTCTAGTCCCAAAATAATCCGTTTGTTCAATGGGTACTAGAAAAAAAAAACATACTTAACATACTTTTCTTTTGTATATTAAATCATATTATACGTATATAAACACCTAGACAGTAGAAAAACAATATGTTCGACACAAAATATTTTTCCAGTAGTGGGGATCGAACCCACGTTGGTGCAAGTGGCACGTTCACTACTTCCCACGCAGAAGCGGTTAGGCGGTTCACTTTATGTTTAGTGATTATCGCTGCTTAAAGGCATCTATAGCAAACGATAGATTGCAGATGCGATGCCAACTTTTAAAGATTTCAGCCCCGGCTCACCAGAAGAATCAAGAAAGTATAACATTTCCACTTGCCTTGGCCTTACAGTAGACCGATTTACGAGCTACGCTCGATATAATTGCGAAGCAGCGTCAATTGCACGCCTTTTTGTTTTAGTGTAAAATAATCGGCATTAAGTTCGCTGTTCGCTGTCAGTCATCAAGCATGTCATGTTCTCATTTATCAAGTAATTTGTTAATTTTTGGACTATACAGTTATTTTAAACTATATCAAGTGTTTTATATCAAGTTCTAGGAAACCTAAATTCCTACAACCGAAGTGACGACTTATCCGGACGAGAATTCTTTTTTGTGCAACAGCTGTCGCGTGATCGTACATAAGTAAAAAAGTATAATATCTCATAGTCTGAACATAGCAATGAAGTTTTGTTTGTTATATTCGTTTCTTCTATAACGCAATAAACCTTATGGGTTATTTGGAGTGGAACTAATCTTATGCTTGAACTGTGATGAACTGTGGTTATTAACAGATGACCTTGTGATCAGGATGGCAGAATTGCATTCTGCAGTGGTGGTTTGAATCAGACTGTGTACTAATGAGTTTGCCGTAATTTTACGTGCAGAAGTCAACGTCTCACAATCGTATTGAAATCGACAAACTAACTGAGGTACATGTTGATTATTTTCACATGAGTTATTTCCGCGTAATATACGCGTTAACGAGATATATATAGTCTTTTTTGATTATCCTTGGTTTATATTATTTAATGAAAATGTATAAGCATGGATAGAGCACTAATATAAAAGAACAGCCAGTCTTTAGAGACGTACAAAAAATAATTTACATAAAAGGACGCGCAAAACTTATTTGCTCCTCAGTGAGTTCTGCACAAATTGCTTCGAGTTTAATAATCGATTAAGAAAGTTACCTGATCTCTAAAATATATTCTACATTCACAAAATCGAATAACGTCGTTTTTCAAAGCTGTACACCAAAGGCTAGTGTGAGCAAGAGAAAATGCATTTTTTACTGGAGAGCAAACGGGAGGGCAATACTCTCCTCCCACACCCCGTCTGTGGATTATCCGATACCTATTAACTGTAACGAACATCGAGGTTTGGCGCGTAATAATCAGTGTTTTATAAAAAATGCTAAACATATGACGAACGATTGAAGATTGCCAGGCACGTTTTTCGGTAAATTATGCGATGGTTAAACGGAACTCAACATAGTCTGCTTCTTTCTTAAATTAACTACTGACTACAGCTTTGGATCATATTTTTATATTTTAACAATTGAGAGGTTTGCAATAATATCTTTCAGTGTAAAATATATGTGTCAAATTATTAGTATTATTAGTTTATTAAAACCTACCTAGTTGGTTCGTGCTTAGAAGAAATTACACAGAAATTGATGCCAACAGGAGGAGACAGATTAAGCGCACGTGGCACACTATTAATGATTTGAGGGCTTCTCACATCTCTTCTTTATTCTTGCTCAGATTCTCTTACGATGTTCTTCTTCATCAAGCACCTAGTAAACCGGTACTTAAATTGCAAGTCAAAACTGATTAAATCGGTCAATAGTTAAAAATATTTTATATTGGGTATTTTAGATACAAGATGAAAATACGTATTTTGTATGTTGTGGGTATTTCAGATACTTGTATCTTAATTAAGTCACATCTCTGGCCCTAATACCTTCCGTACAGAGGCGTTTGCCCGGCAGTGGGATATTTTTATCTTGTTACTTTACTTTTTACTTTTTTACTAATATTTGTGAAATTAAAGTGTTAGTTTTGTTTGTAGTCAATAAACTAGATATTACGTTTACATGTAATAAAAAACTCATTAAACCTTTATTAAGAAAATTCAGCACTTTATCATAATTATTTAGTACGTATGTAGGAAGAAATTGTTATAACATAGTGTGTGTATTATAAGTCAGTTGTAATTATCCAAAGAGATTAATTTGTTTGAGTTCCGCGGCGCAAGTCCCATGACATACCCATATTACTCCACTCCACGGTGTATAATAAGGTCAAGGTCAAACATATATTATGCAGGCCCTTTGCGATAAATTTACATGTGCAAGCAAGAGTCTGCAAAGACAATTAATGCTCCCGAGAAGCTTCAAAGCTTTGATCTTCGTTTAATGAGAAATATGATTGTCATGCCACACAAGAAGTGTATTTTATAGAAGTATTATAAACATATCAATATATGTAATAAATATATATCATAAATGTGTAATGTGACGCATTTTCCAATTAAAAACTATAAGCTCTCTAAATTACATAACGATGTTAGTATCTTAGCCGTTTATATTAACACGATGTAAAGAATAAAAACAAAGCTTTACCGTTTTATGAAATAGATAGATTAACTCGGCGCTTTGCATAGGTTATTAGTATATCTAATGCAGGTTCCATAACGTTTAAATTTCTTTATAATTTTATTTCTATGTTTGCCTTATATGTTTAAATTTTTTGTGTTTACATCTGTAAAACATTTACTTAGTCTGTGTAATTTTCATTTGTGATATTCCTTTTAATTATTATATTCCTTAAATTGTGATAAGGAATATTGAACGTAAGTAACGTGAAATATGCAAGATTTTCCGAAAGTAAAAGTAAAGTAACATCCTATACATGGTAAAGGCCTCCTCTATACAGGTATCAGGGCATAGTCCACCACGCGGCCCCACTGCGGATTGCCTGACTTCACATATCTTCAAAATATATATATTTTTTGTTATTATTTCGAAAATATGCAGGTTTCCTCACGATGTTTTCCTTCACCGCGGAGCACGTGATAAGTCAGCACTTAAAATTAAAAACTTCATTGGTGCTGGCACCGGGGATCGAATTCAGGTTGCTCGAGTATATTGAATTAAAGGCGAGGGCCCGGACACAGAGCTATCACGGCTCAGAGATTTTTCTATTTGCGTGTAACCGGAGCGAGAAAGCTATTATTATATACTTATTTATAATGTGTTTGTGATTAGCATATTACATGAACGTATTATACGTATTAGCTCCGAGTTACATACGTCTGATGGTCTCTGCGGTCCTGTTTTCAGAATGTATTAGCACGCATTATCAGCACGCACATCCCTTGTGGTAAGTCTAAATGTACTGTAAGAGTTTTGCTCAAAATGAGTTATTACTACCCGAGGTATACATCTATGTGCGTGAGTGCATCATCAAATTTGTCTGAGACCGTTATTTTGAATTTCCTTAACTACAAGTGTAACTTTACAGAAATTGGATAGAAGAAAGAACTTCACGAAAAGGATATGGGTTTGTGATGAGCTTCAGACACCAGCTTCTTGGCCGCGTCTCTTGGGTCAGGTAGCGGAGGGCTACGGGCGTGAACCCGGGGAACGGTAGCCCCTGGCCGCTTGTGCTCTCCGTGCTCAAGCCCCCTTCTGAGTCCGAATTGCCCCCTTCCGATTCCGAGCAGCCCCCACTTGATTCCGAGCCTGGATCTTCTTCCCTATAGCCGTAGTAAGGCATCCTCTTCCGTTCTCCGGGCATTCACTTAACATATAAGCTCATTATATCACTTAGGAAAGTAAAGTCTATTCTACGATTGCTACTTAACCATCTCCGTTAGACCTTCAACTATATACGTAGGAGTCGACAGAAGCAGCAGAGGATGTTTGGAGCGTTTCTTCAGAATATCCAAAGTCTGCTCCATCGCTCTGGAATGTGTTTATTTAGTCTGAAACAATGTAAAACCATTAATTAATATATATGTTTTACGTTGTTTTACTTTATTTTTAGAAGTATCGGCCGATAATTGAAAGAAATATTAAAAAGTTAAAAAAGTCCTGGCAAGTTAAACATATTGACAGATTTCTTAAAAGGCAAACGACATTTTATTTCCAAGGTAGATAATGTAATATTATGAGTAAGTAGTAAAATTATATTACACTAAAAGATAAGTTTACATTTTATTATACTTTATTTTCTCCGCGGACAAAAAATCCTATATTTAGTAGATATAAAAGTTTCAAAATATTACAACTACGTACATTTATATGATCGATATGTATATATCTTGATTTGAATGTATATTCTCATATCGTCTGCATATAACTGAAAAGTTAAAGCATTCAGACGATGTTATCTCGGCCTAAATACCAAAAACGCAGACGTTGGCCCTGGAACAAAACCCTAAAGGAGAATAAAACTTGAAGCACTTTTGGCGAGATAAAAAGAACGCTTTGTAGTGAGTGAACCTGCTACGTAGAATGCAGCGCTCATTTACTTCAAGGAAGCCGTGAGATTTCGGGCTGTAATAAAATTTTAACAATCAGCAATTAAAACCACTACGCCGTCACGCATCCCGTCTGCTTCACGTGGAGTATTAATAATTTTTATAATGGCACATACATAAATGAAGTCCCGATGTGCAAATAAATAAGGTTCACATTCGTACGCTAAATTGCCATTTTTATCTTATAAGATTTTGTTTTATGCGACTAGTAGACTCCATATTATATTTCTAGGATTGTTATCCACTAGATGTTGAAGGATCTTATGGTTCAGTTGACAAACTAATTGGATATCCAAATCTGGGTATAGTAGAATACCGGATTCGCAGCCGATGCACTAATTGTGTAATAGTTTAACCGGAACAGTAAACAGAGCTGGACGATTTGCTACACTGATTGGTATTGTATAAAGTTATCAAATTGGATGTAATTGATATTGTGTACTAAAGTTTTAAACTCATGTACTACTAAGGGAAAATGAGAAAAAAAAAACACCGGACAAGTGTGAGTCAGAATCGCGCATGAAGGGCTCCGTACCATTATCTATAAAAACTGTAAAAAATCATGTCTGTTGTGCGCCCCACTTAAATATTTTTTTTACTGTTTTTTTATTTGTTGTTATAGCGTTAACACAAATACATCATCTGGTAAAATTTCAACTATCTAACTATCACATGATATACATGCCTGGTGACAGACGGACAGACAGACAGCGGAGTCTTAGTAATAGGATCCCGTTTTACCCTTTGGGTACGGAACCCTAAAAACGTAAGGCTTGGAAGAACGGGTGGAAAGAACGTCCTTTCATTTGTATATTATGTATTAAATGACAGTCAATAAAAAAAAAAACAGCGTTTAAAAGTAACTAATTAAAAAAATATTGAGTGAAGTAATGGTAATAAGTCCAATTTAAAAAATAAAAAAGTTATCTAATGTGAGTAAAAAAATGCGGAGAGAGCGAATTGCTGAAAGTCATTGCAGATAAAGGACACATTACGCTTTTTCCTTACATATTGATTGCTACTCGCACATCCTACAAGCTATGAAAATTTAACAATTCCCTTTCAAAAAATATAATATATGTATTTATTATTTATATTTATGCACTTTAAAAACAATGCAATTCATTTCTAGTTTATTATTAATAAAGAATAAAACCGTTTGAAAACTTTTAAGTTAAACAGTTTGATTTTATGTGCACTGAAAACTACAATATTGTATTGTCATCAAAATTAAATATGTGTACCAAATTTCAGATCAATCTGACAACGGGAAGGTGCTTAAATTTCAATTTCTAATTTTGACCCAAACAAATAAATTCCGTACGGGTCGAGCTAAATAAAACCGTTTAAAAACACACTAGGCGCCAGCGAGTAACTCCAGTGTCGCTGTCGATTCATGTATATAATAAGCAAGAAAAAATACAGCAAGATTCGGAACAACTATTTATTAAGGATCACAGTTTCGTTGCCTCGTGTGAGGATCGAGCTCACAACGCGGCGATTAAACGTCAGTTAGCTTGGTGACCACTTAAAACATGAGTCATAGGTGCAGTCTGATTGTTTCCCATAATAATAATAACATAAATGGCCTTACTTAAAACGGAATATTCGGAATTTGGAATATGAAAATTCTTACAATAATAATAAGCATGCGTCAGTAAGATTTGCTGGTCTGTTGTGTCTAATTTCGGTGCAGAGGAGTAAAAGGTGTTTAACCTCTTTACTCGACCCGTAAAAGTTTAGTTACAGTGAAAGTGCAATTAGGAATCTGGGTTCATCTAAACAGTCAGATGCAAATAAAAAAACGGTTTATTTTCGTTGTTAATAACAAAGAACGACCTGTTTTGTCTCATTACAAAACAATGTACTATATAGTTCGTACGTATTAAAGGAGTAAAAATACTTTTGCAAATATTTACTTATTTGCTTTTGTATGTATGAATTTACAAAATGTTGAATTTTGAAAAGTGTTGATTTTGATATATGTTTCTTTTCGTACTTCATTCACGTAACTCATGCCAAGTTCATGATCAAGTTTGTGTTTATAAATATGTGAAGATAAGTTGCGTCACGATTCGTATACGAAAAGATTCGGAAATAACCTAAAATGTAGATAAATAAAATAAAATGTGAGTATTTTCTTTGTATATATAGTTTGGACAGTTTTTCCCTTTCGCTTGTAGGATAAAACAGCAGAGCAGAAATGTTACACAGCGACTAACATACAAGAAATGAAATTAAACATGGTGTATAGATTTGTAATCTGTAAGTTAAAACATTTGGATAAACGTCAAATAATGTATATGGTTAACATTCCAATACATTATATTATATGTTGTAATTTAATAAAAATAATATAAAACAAATATCGACAGTAAGTCAGCAAAGAAGAAAATTCAAATCCGCCGTCGCTGCTATTTGTTCTTACTACAAGTTACGTTTTACACCGCAACATAACACAAATAAGAGAGGATTTGCAATCTCTCGACAAATAAATTCGGTTATTACACGACTCTATGTCTCGTCGTGTTTATCTTTGCATGTTTTATATACACCGCTTTTCCATGTTCCCAAATTTATGAAGTACTTGCTTTGACTTTCAAATAACAAAAAAGATGAATGGAAATTTAGTTGAGCGTCACTTGACGAGCCGTTTTAATTTACACGACTGTTGCTTATAAATATATAATACATTCTATATAAATGTATATAAATATATTACATAACAGCGTAAAGATTTTGAGACTGTGATGATTGAACTGGGAAGAAACCTTCTATGTAGAACGACCCCACAGCATAAACCCTGAAGTATTTTGTTATGGCCGCTCTTAAAACTCACAGTTCGCTCGCCAAGTGCTGATATAAACATGCCATAATTTCTGAAGTACCTTGTAAAGATATGATTCAACGTTTTTTTTCGTAAAGCATAACAATAAATTATACACATCTCTGAAGAGTAGTACTTACATAATAAAACTAGTTTAAGAATGTCTGTTGGACTAGATATTCGAAATCAGGTAAGTGAAAATTCACTGATCGTACCTTATGCTAACGACCATAGTGAAAAGAAATAGCTGAAGGCACGAATATGCTCCACAGAGATAATTTTGTCTATGAAAAAACGACTAAGGTGAAGGGAAATTTTATAAATGTACATAGTTATTGTCGAATTTGACTTTGATCCAAAGTGAAACGACAATTGAAAGCGATCACAATAGACGGTTCCCTCTATCCGATGAAATAATGTACTAGACGTTTTCACGGTATTGGCGTTTTGTTCGTGAAATAGGCGAAGGCGACATAAACGGCTGGAGGCAATAGCCGCACTATTTGTCCCCACAAATAGATTGTCGCTGTAAGTGTCCCATTATCTTTCCGCTTTGTACCGTGCGCACATTCATAGGGCTTATTTGATTCCGAAATATCTTTTAGATTTTGCTAACATCATATCAAAAAATCAACAAACATTTTGTCACACGGCTTTTTGTTACGATATCGCTGAAGAAAACTGGAATTAACTGTAAACAAAACGAGATATGGTAATAAAAATTAACATTTTTTATATGCATGTAAGTCACAATTAGATTTAGTTTGTGTTTGTTTGGTCATGAGCACTTGCCAGTCACAATTTTTTGATGTGAATTTGCATTTTCAATCTTAGAACAAATGGAAAACTGTATGATAAAATACTAATAGCGGTGTATAATGATTTATGGTTCCCATATTAAATCGATATATCAATTATCTGATGTCGAAATAATAAAGGAAACAAAGAAGGAAATAGGTACCCCGGATTTTCGTTCGGCAAACGTTATTAAGGTATATCCATTAACATTCTTCAGCTGCTTTCGTTTGTATATTGTTTATGAAAGATAATGTAAGAATGTTGTTACTGTCCAAGTAATGACTCTGGTTTATTCAAATATGCGTAGAACTTCTTCAAAACTCATAAAGGTATAAGGTTTAAACTCATTTAATACAACAATAAAGCATTCTAATTGTTTTTTGTCAAGTAGAGTTTAATCAACGTGTTATTTACTAATGTGCGAATTTAGTGCTAAGTGAAGTTTGTGAGTGTGGCCGACAAACTGTAATTAAAACAATGTATTAACAAAACCCAAAAATTGGAATCAAAACATTAGAAGAAGTTCATTTGTCCATTTGTGAAACATAAGATGCTTGAATTTTATAAAGTTGACTATGTTGTTATGAGGTAGGACCACGCCACCTCTTCTGTTGCACGAATGGGCAGGGT